CTCTTCAGGGCTCCTGCGTCGCAGCAGAACCAGCAGGACCCGGCTCTGGTGAACTAAATTTGCTGAAATTGAGTTTTTTTTCTTCTTTGAATGTTTTTGTAATTTAACTCCAGAGCGCGATGATGTCACTGTTTACAAAGAATTGCATCACTGAGAAACAAAACTTTCATTCAATCTTTATTTTCAACTTTTCCTTTTTTTTATTTGTCATTTTGACTTTCGTCACTTTTCTTAAATAACTAATTTTTTGTGTTAAAAGCTGAAAGTGGCAACACGGTGGCACAACTGGTAGAGCTGCTGCCTCTCAGCGAGCAGGTCCTTGGTTCAAATCCCGGTCCAGGGGCCTTCCTGCATGGAGTTTGCATGTTCTCTCCGTGCTGCGTGGGTTTTCTCCGGGTACTCCAGTTTCCTCCCACAGACCAAAAACATGCATGTTAGGCTGATTGGTAACTCTAAATTGTCCCTAGGTGAGAGAGTGAATGGTTGTTTGTCTCTATGTGTCCCTGTGATGGACTGGAGACCTGTCCAGGGTGTCCCCCGCCCCTCGCACAATGATTGCTGGACATGGGCACCGGTGACCCCCGGGACCCAAAATGGAATGAACTTGTAAAAGGTAATGGATGGAAGCTGAAAGTGAGCGCGAGCTGCGTGCGCTGAGCAGGTGGAGTCGCACGTGTCTCCACCGGGCCAGCACTTTGTTGTGGGACAAGCTGTCAGCTGAAGACGTTGGATTAGCCGATCCAGCGTCGCTCTCGTCCCTTTGTGTCGGGGTGTGTGTGTGTGGGGGGGGGGGGGGGGGCATAGCTTTAAAACAACAAGCTGGAAGAAATTCAAATGTGGCTGCAGGAATGGGGGGGCGGCTCTGCACTCGGCTCTCCCTCCTCCAGACTGACTGCAGGCACACCTGTTGCTCAGCCGTGGGCGTGGTGGCTGCTCACCTTGTAGCTCTAACTGGGCCGTACTGGTCCTTAATGTGGGAGCTCCTTTGTGCCAGAGGAGAACGGCTCCTGGTGTTCTGCCCGGGGGGGTCGTGGTGACAGACTAACTACTGTGCTTTGCAGACTGATGACATTTTCAGCGCTTCACCTGTCCGTGTTCATAATGAAGTGCTCAGTGTTTGTTTCAGGCCTGACACTTTGGAACGTGCACGCCCGTGTTGCTGGTAGCTGTGCACGAAGCCGCCCTTTACTTGAATTCCTCGTGCAACTTTTCTGCTCATAAATCAGCAGGATGCGCACGCTTCATCTTCACCTGGGTGCCTGCAGTCTGGCTCTACCTGGCGCCCCTCATGCAAATACAAGTCATGATTGCATGAAAACGTGCATAATTTACATGACTTGGAAAACACCGTGCACGCACCGAGCACGGCAGCAGGCACGCTGGCATTTCCACAGCTGATTTTTTTTTGCTCACCTCTCTGCTCAGCGTTGTTGTTTTAAGACATTAGCAAAACACTCTGGCTGTCGTCAGGTCCTTTTCAAACTGTGCACGGAGCAGAAACGTGCACGCCGTCCTGCATTCATCCCGTGTCAACACTCTGCTCTGTGTTACTCTGCAAACAGCTGTCCTGCTGCTGATTGCATGTGAAGAAGTAAAGATAACCATATGACACTAAAGTCAGACTCAACATGATTAATGATAAACATGTGTCTGCTCCTATTTTCAGATTGACTCTTTTTGAACCGTGCAGCTGAACAGCGTCAGATTAACTGGGATTACTGGACTTTTGTGCAGTTCTTTGTTTGGCTTGAATTGTGTTTTTCGGTCAGGAAGCGTTGTCGTCGTGCGAGTCAGAGGAGTTTCATACGAGCCGCGCGTCTTGAAGCTCAGTTGAAAGTAAGAGTTGTTGAGCTGTTTGTGCAGACGAGGCTGCAAGAACCAAACGTGATGTTTCTGCCTCTGCTTGATGGGAGGTCACTGGTGAAGCCGTGTTGCAGCTTCAGGCGGCCGGCGTGCGCTCGTCGTGCCTGTGATGTGGTTCACGTACGGTCAGAGAAACACCGCGGCCCGTGAGCAACGGTCCGTGACCACTGGATGCGGGGAAGAATGCTTTCCAAGTCAAATCAGCTCCTGCCTGCGAGGAGGAGGCCTGTCGGTGCTGGGCGCACAGAAACACGAAGCCCCCCCCCCCCCCCCACACACACACACACCCACACCCACCCCCCACCCCGAACAGCAACCTGAGAAAGCAGGTGAGCAACTTTATCAAGTGATCCTTCAACACCTCCGAGCTGGAGCCCAGTTTGTTTAAAGCCTGGTTTCCACTACAGGGCTAGATGGGGCTTGCCTGACACACCAGTTAATTTATTACTCCACACACACACACACACACACACACACACACACACACACACACACCTAAATAAAGGTACAGAAAACCTTTTTGCATCTTTCCACAGTCTGGTCATTTTTCATCTGTCGTGTGTTTTTTCTTCTGTAATTAACGTGAGTTCAGCCCCCCCAGACCCCCCCCACACCCCCCCAGACCCCCCCCACACCCCCAGCCTGACCGCCGGGCACTTTTTCAACTTTTCTACGTTCTAATTTAGCACCGCTAATCCAAATGGAAAGATTCAGCCAGATTTATGAAAGTTATAATCTGAGATTAGAATGTACAGATGATGTTTTATTTGATAGTTAAAGTTTAATTTGTCAGATGTTTGTTGATTTGTGGAAATGTGTTTTAGCTGAATTCACTGGAGCTGCAGGTTTTGAATCAGCTGAGCAGAGACGGGTCAGAACATTTGAAACGAGCGACCTGGCGTGGCGACGAACGCTGCGCACCCTGACCTCCCTGGTCCAATTCCCTAATGATCCGTGACACATGGAAATGAAGGACACGGGCTCGAGCGCGCCCACGCTTTCTGTCTCTTCTCTTTTGTTTATGAAAAGCAGTTTCCTCGTCATGTAAAACGAGCCAGAAGTGTCCGGAGCTGACGGGGGGCAGCAGAAGTGCACGCTGCGTGCACACCTTCAGACAAGCAGGAGAACTCTTGAACATGAGCAACATTTAATCAGATACATTCAGTTTGACTGTGCAACATTTGTCGACTGTTAACGCTCCGACGTGAAACCAGGCCAAGGTTTTCACGCTTCCTGTGACACTAATTGCACTTAATTTAACGTACCTTCAGCTAATAAATAAAACGAGGGAGCCGGGATCTATTTTATCCAATCACAAACAACCGGGTGTAAATGTTGAACTCAACAGAAACAAACGTCCTGAAACACTTGAGTGTTTTTTTCTTTTCATTAAATTAACCTTTAAATGTTCAGAGGTTTGATGTTGACGTGGCAACGCAGACGCACACAGTTCTTCAGAACACCTGTCCTGCAAGTCCCTTACAAAGTTTATGAGTGTGTGTGTCGACTGCTTGGTCCGTGGGGGGGGGCGCTCCTCGTTCAGAGGAAATCTGACGCCGGGTCTTTCAGGTGAAACATGGCCACAAGCTGTGAGTCCTCTCTGTCCAGCAGCCCCCGTGCAGGGAACCTCATCGGGCCGAGGCTGCGACCGGGTGGACAGCGTCGCGGTTGAAGGCCAGAGGGTGATGTCACAGCTGGGGGGAGAGGGAGCACTGCCACTGGCCGGCTGCCATGTGGGGCCGGTCACACAGGCCGACGTGGTGGCGCTGTACGCCGTGTAGGGTGACACTGGGGTGGGAGGGAGGCAGGGAGGGGTGCTGGGCGCTGTGGCAGAGCTGCTCACTGTGGGCGATCCACTCAGCGTCTGGAATGGAAAACACTGATTATATCTCAACGAACCACTTTGGTTTCAGCACCATTCATTGATCGATAATTTGTTTTAGATCTCTGTTTTAAATATGAGTGTATTAAAGAACCGCACACACACGCACACACACACACGTGCACACACACACGTGCACACGCAGCTGAAGGAAGCAGTGAAAGTGATCTGGGCTCTGACTTCACAGCCACCACATGAAACCAGCAGCTCTGCTGACAGTCTGAATGGTCACTTATGCACGCTCACGCTCACGCTCCTGGAACACATTAAACAAGTGTAAAAACCAAACGTGCATCAGCGAACGGGCAGTGCACGTTCCAGCAGCAGCCTAGTGCACGGACAGCAACACCAAGAAACAGATGCACGACGGGCTGAGAGGAACGGCAGGAAAATGATGAAGAGGAGCTCCGGCTCGACGGCGGGACGAAGAACCAGAACCAGTTTCCAGGACTGGTTTGAATTTACCTGCTGGGAGTTTCCCATCGCTTCGACAAAAACAATGCACTTTGCTTTTAAACTTCTATTTCAAAATTACATTTTGTGTTATTAAAAAATGATAAAGTATTTATTTTCATTCCCTGAACGCTCACCAACCGTGTTTGTGTTTGGTTTATTTGTTTGTTTACTTGTTTATTTAAGGGGTAGAAATGGCAGCTTACACAATAACAACACGTTATAATCTAATTTTGTTTTGCACTTGTGTGTGTTTTTATATAATTTTAATTAAAATTGCATGAAAATTTCCCAGAAGATGCTTCACAAACACACAGAGTTTTGTTCAGGTCACGTCTGGTTGATTCGTTTATTTTGATCAAGACGAGACAAAACAAAATATATTTTTAAATCTCACAAATAACATTTATTAACTCGTGTTGTATTTAGAGCAGGAAGACGTGAGAAGCTGTTAATAACATTTGTTCGTGTGCAGATATTTTATTTTCTGCAGAAACATCAATAATATGTCACTGAATTAAACATGTGCGGTGATCTTTCTGTAAAACATTAAAAACACGTAGTTTCAATGTGTCGTTTGTGATGAATGTTGTTTGTCCTGTTTTTATTTTACAACTTTTTGATTCCAACTCAGAAACGAACGACGTCCGGACACGACGTTTACATTTCAAACATTTCTGACAAGAACCGGAGCGCGCACACACACACACACACACACACACAGCAAGACAATGCTCTGATTTAGGCCTGATAATAATTTATTATTATTATTTTATTATTATTATTATTTTAGAAATTATAACAATTACAAAAAAAAATAGTCGTAATGAAAAAAACATTAAATTTAGTTTTTCTGTTTTTTTTTATTTGTTTTAAATCTGATGAATTTGAGCAATACATTTTGTCTCACACAAACATTAACAGCAGCTGGGAGTAAAAAAAAATTAATAATTTACAGATTAAATTACAGATTAAAATTACAGATTAAAATTACAGATTAAAATTACAGATTAAAATTACAGATTAATTTAATTTAACGTGTGGACGTGCCAAAACTAAACTAAAGATCTGATTTTGTTTGTTTTACTCTTTTAAATTTTAAATTGATAATTTCCCCGTGATAAATTATTCAAACGTCATATTTGAACAAACACGCGCCCTGTCAGAAAATAAGCACAAAATAGCGCGCATGCGCGACCGCACAGGCCCGGTTATAATCATACACTGTACCGCCTGTTACCTGATAAATATATATTATATATATATGTGTGTGTATATTATAACCATTTATACACACACATATATATTTTATTTAAAATGAGCAGACACGAACAATCAAGTTTTTACTTGTTTCAATGAGTAAAGAATAAAAATAAAACAGATTAGTAACAAAGTGTGTCTGAAGGAAAGTTTCCTCGTGTGTGTGTGTGTGTGAATAATAATGTTAATATTTGTTTTTAATGGTGAACTAATTCACACTTCCATAGTTTGGTCGTGCACGCGCAGCTTCAGGCTGTTCAGCCTGCACCAGGTCCGTCCCATTAAAACCCACGTGCTGCCAGAACCGAACCGAGACCAGTTCGGTTTATGAGTCCGCCCGAGTCTGGTGTTCAGGACTAAACAACTGGACCTCGGAGTTACACATGCACGATCCGTGCACTGAGGACTGCTAAAAGCAGCGACACACACCGGAAGTGCCGCAGTTAACGCGCGCGCCTTCACCGGAACGTTTTCCGTGGTGAAAGGTGTCCACTTCACGTGCGTGTTTTTAAACGCGCCTTGGCCATGACCAGAGCTGCGGGGACATTATCCTGTCCGGGGGGGTGGGGGGGTCATCCGTCCATCCATCCATCCATCCATCCATCCATCCGTCCATCCATCCGTCCATCCATCCATCCATCCATCAGGTGCTAAAGACAATGAACCCTGCGCGTGTTTGTCGTGTGTGTGTGCACGTCCTGTTCATTCTCATGTTTGAGAACATTTATTTTCAGCTGTCGTAAAAAATATTTAAAATTATTGTTCATTTAAAGAACGAGAGGAAAAGTTTGTGTTTGATCATGCGCGTGTGACGCGCACTTTATCCAAACATGGTGGAAACATCAGATGAACTTCTTGTTTGCGCGTGAAGGTTGTTCAAACACAATTATTACATTTTACATGTTTGACTTCAACACACCGTGCGTGTGTTGCTCGTGCGTTCAAGTTCACGGATATTTCTTGAAAACGTGAAGATAAATGAAGCTTCATGGTCGCGCGCGCACTATTTCAATGCCAGATGTAGTTTTTCAAATAAAACCTGTTTGTGTGGATCTGCAGGATCGGTGGATCCGTTTGGATCTTGTGAGCAGGATCGGTGGATCTGTTTGGATCTTGTGAGCAGGATCGTGACAGCAGCAGCTTCTAACGAGCTCTCACGCAGACCCTGTCACGCACGGAGCCGACCATTAACTGGTTTATGGCTGATCCTGTTTCAGCTGAGGCTCAACAAGTTTTCCGGCGCGAGCCTTCAACCACGCACTCCTCTCCACTGAGGCGCGCGTGCAACGTTTCACCCACTTTTCAAATGTGATGCAGTAAATAAGGCGCGTGCTTACTTTGTTGCTCCGTTATTGACCGGATCCCCAGAATATCTGTGACGGAGTGCGACGAGGGCCATATCCTGTGCATCATGTGTCCAGGGAGGGTGGGCATGCCCGGGGGGGTGGGCACCTTGGAGGCCGGGTACGAGTACAAGTGGTTGTAAGGTAGCGTGGGCTGCGGGGGCGGATGAGGCGCCTGCTTGCCCGACTCGTACTGGTTTTGCTGGGACAGGTTCCCGATCTTGTTCCGGAGGATCCGGCTGATGGAGCTGACGGAGGGCAGGTTGAACTTGTCGCAGACCCCGTCCGCCAGGAGCCGGTCCCGGATCTCCCAGGCGAAAATGCCCGGGTCTCTCTGTTTGTATGTCCGTATGTGCTTGACCACCGTGGGTGTGGTCACGCGCGGCTTGCTGCCTCCTATGGCCCCTGGGAGGATGGACCCGGTCTCGTTGTAGCGGGCCAGGATCTTGCTCACGCAGCCGTGGGACACGCGCAGCTGGCGGCTGATGTCACAGGGTCGAATCCCGAGTTGGGCCAACTCCACGATCCGGAGTCGGATGGCGTTGGGGAGGGGTCGTCCGTTCACGAACACCCCCCCGAGCTGGTTCACCTCACCGAAGGCCGGTTCTGTGTGGACAACAAACAAACAGCGGGTGAGCCTAAAGCGAGACCACAGGCCCACGCACACACACACGCACTCAGCGTGCAGGAACCACAAAGAGTCACTGTGTCATCATTTTTGAAGAAACGAGCGCGACCATTCATTTACTTTTATACTTTGGTTTCTACAAACTTTTCTCTCGCAACGAAAACTTTAATTCTTTGATTTAAATCTTTACACAAACTAAGTGGAAACTTGGAGCTGTCAGCGCAATAACAGCACGAGCTCATCTTCACGCGCATGTCCACTGTCGTGCGTAAAAGTCGCCAGGATCAGTCCTGGTGTCTTCCTTTGACCATCAACATCTCATTTCTTGATGGATTTCTTCACCGGTTTGTGCCC